TGTGTTAAAATCTAATTAACATCAACTTGGGATATCAACTTCCAGCCTATTGATTTCCTGTCTTCCCCTATTACCTTTCTTCCTCTTTTCTCTTAGAAAAAAACAAGAGAAATGTTGCTCTAAATCGTTTGATTAGTGACTGGTATCCCTTTAGCGATTGTACACAAAATTTAGTGTATATGACAAAAGGAAATCTAATTCTTTTCCTCAAACTTCCACACTCATCGGTAGCCAATTTTTATCTGACTCATCAAAATTTGGTGGTAAAATAGAGGAGAAGAACTCTCAAAATTATTTGACAAATCCATTCACAAAAAAAGAAAAAAACATAGATTTCCTTTCTTATGCATTTTATTCAAAATTCTTTTATTCAACAATGAATTTTTGTTTAATTTAATAAAATAGATGAGAAAAAAAACTCAATTCATTTTGGTCAGAAGAATTTATTAAAAAAGTAAAAAAACTATATTATAATTGAATGGTGCTATTTACTGTCTATTGCTATGCGAATATATACTGCAAACCAAAACTGTATTCATCCCATTGTATCCTTTCTATTTTGTACACAAATTGCTATAATATCACAGATTTTTTTTGCTGGATAGGTTTGGCACCAATTTAATTTTTTGCTTTTAACACTTAAAAATAACAAAAAGAGACTGAACTCAAAAAGGAAGCTTATTTAGTCGAATCAATTACGTTAATTTACTATGTAACTTTTTTCCTCGTTTCTTTTCCTGTAAATTTCATCTGCATTGCTCTTCTTCAAGAATACCTTTTCTTTTTTTTTCAGTTTTGCACTTTTTCTGATCTCGTGTAAGTTATTGAAATTTTTATAAACTTTTTGCTTGAACAGTTATTGACAGTTGTTTTCGGTTGTTCGCTTTTTTTCTTAATCGTCCAACCCATTCATTTCAGCCCCTTTCCCCCCATCCGTCGGCCAAAAAAAAAACAAAATAACAGTATCAGATACTAAGATTATAAAACTATATATTTAGATAATGCTTACAAATCTAACACTTAATCGTTGATCACTTATAGTCTTGCTATATATAATAACAAAAAAACAAATGACCGACAAAGAAAACAAAATTAGCATCTTAAGTTAACAATTTTATCGTTCATTGCTTCTGTTACCCTCTTTTTTACCACTTCTTCT